CCGAAAAGGCGAAAACCTCTGCCAAGATGTGTATGTTGCCGATCCATAGGTAATTCACAGGTTCTTAAAGTTCCATAGACGCTAAAGATTTCCGACAAGTGTTCCTTTGTAACATTGCGGCTCAAATTACGCACACACAGACGACGAGGTAGTGGCGTTACTTTGCGGGCTGGACTTGCCTGAAAACGAAGGTTTTCTAAAGCTCACGATAAAATCGAGTAATTAAGCCTATCACTTAAGACATACTGAAAGAAGTTTACAATGTCAGCTATCAAACTATTCTCGTTTATCACGTTTAACAAGCAGTCATGCTATCGCCGGGAAGCGCTATCTGGTTTAATTGGCTTTAATTTTTTTGGCTTTAGTTCTGGTTTAATTGGCGACAAGACGGAAGAGCAGTTTCAAACCTCAAAACCGCGGGGTGTAAAAAATTACCTTACGCTCACGCGAACGCGAACGGTTGCGTCTATCTCTGCTACCACTTCGATCTCGTCTCTTAGGTGACGGTGATGGTCGCCGTTTTGGAGATGGCGATGAACGTCGTCGGCGTCGTTCCGGAGTCGGTGATCGACGGGAAGATGCGATGACCGCCTTTTCACTACGTTCTGCTCGTGCAGCAGTTCGAGGTGAACGCGAACGCCGTGCTGGACTTCGTGCTCTGTCTAAATTTATTCTCCCTTACCAAGTGAAACAAAGATAGAGACTCGCAATATACAAAGAAGGGAAAGCTGAATATGAGGGAAAGTGAAGGTGAAGGTTCAAGAGTTCATTTTTTTTACCTTCTATTTGTTTCTAATAAACAAAGTAAAAGTAAAAACTCATTAATTTCTTCCCCATTTTTTTGTCTAGACTCTCTCTCTCTCTTTGCCTCGGACAATTACCGTCGAAGCATGGAACCTAAGACCCCGCGAAACAATTGTCCCAGAGTTTTACAGCAAGTGCAGAGGAAATGTTAACCTAGAACCATTAACAGTGACGTAAGTGAACTAAGTTCTAATGGAAAAAAGTCATGCAGTCGTAGAATTACTTCAAGCTAGCTGAAGAACAGGACATGTAACGTGTGGTTACATTACAAAGACAATAGGTAGTTACAGTGATGCCTACAGTAAGGTCCTCCACGGTTATGATGACCACATTTATCAGGGTTAGAATGCATGAATACCTTTGGCTGTTTTTCTGGGAGTAGGGGATCTGGAAGATTCCGAACTTGTTGTCGTGCCGGAGCGTGACGTCGAAGAAGAATCGCTGAAAGATGAACTTTCGGATGAATCAGACGAGCTATCCGAAGAAGAACTACTGCTCGACTCACGTCGTCTCTTCACTTCCTTCTTATTTTCTCTTTCAGTCGGTTTTCCTTCAACCATTTTAAATCAAACCTAAAAGATTTATTATCTATTGTTCCATTCAAGTAGAAAATGAACGAGCCATTACGGTTAACAATGCATAATTCAACTTAATACAAACGAGAACATGCTGATGCAACTGCATATCCCACATAACCATGCATCCGCTTCCGCATCATTCCGTCCAGTCCACTCCAGTGATACTAGTTATGGCAGGGAATATTAATTATGTTACTGGTTACACCAGAAGGGGTAATTTCCCGATCCTGATTCTTTTATAATACATTAAAGAAACATAAAACAAGAAGGAAAAGACTATTAAGATTGTAGGTTCGTGCAGCATTACTTGCAGTATATGAAACCCAAGTTGCACGTTGATTTTTCGAACCAAAGAAGCGACAATTCTCACATAAGAGATTATTCTTCATTAAAGCTAATTTGCCTAAATAAACAGTAAATTAAGCGTAGAAACAACAAGTACTACACAACAAACAAACAGACAGAACCTTACCAATTCCCAACCCCGACAATCAGGTACCAACTTCCATTCATGCAAAAAACCCCCCAGCTCCAAACCAACAAGAAGATCACTGAAGTTATTAGCAGCGCTATGCAACTTCTCATCTCGATGGATGAAACATCTGCTGTGACTATTGATTCGAAATTTCAATCGAAATTGGAATTGTAATTTAAAATTGGAAGAGATGTAAATTTGAAGAGAGAAATTGCCATTAACATTTCAATACTTCAGTTATACATTCCTTTTCTAATCTAGCAATTGTGTTACGTTTCTTGTTGTTGTCGTTGTCAAAATTGGAAAAAAAAATAGTTCTAAAATTTATACTTTTGCTAAGTTCAAAGATAAACATTGTTATAGAAATAGCAATATATCGAGAGTTATCGACATATTTTAATTGATATTTGATGATGTGTTACATTGTCATCAAATAATAATTTCTCTCTGTGCATTCTTCAGTTGTATCTATTCATTGTCATATTATTCAAATCTTAAGTATCACTATTACTTTTCTTCTCGAAAATGAAATTAAATGAGATCGGTAAACTTTTATTTCATTGCTGTTAATTTTTTGAGGGATGAATTCCAAAAAAAAAAAAAAAAAGCCATTCTTCTAAAACATTAGTCGATTTTTAGGCGCTTCTGACATACAATTAAGCTATTGTCAACAGTATGGACTATGAGATGAGATGAATAATGATTTTGAAGAATTTTTTCAAATTAGCTAATCCATTCAAATCTTCAATATTTTGCAACAATTAAATGGATGTATGTATTTGAGAATGTTTTACAAGGATTAATTAAGGGATTTCACGAATTTTGTTAAAATAAATTAGAATAGTTTGTGTAAGGAAATGAATACCGTGTTGGCTCAAATTTTACTGCAGTATTTCTTCCTCACACAAAATTCCTTACAACTGCAATATCAAGAGGTAAAGAGAAGCGACATTTGTGCATCCCTAAATGCCAGGTCAGCTGTTTGCACATCTTCTTATTCAATTAATATTTAACTTCTTCCTTTTTTAAATCTTTCCCTTTTAATATGACCTATCACAAAGTTTTATTATTTCAGCTATGTGACAAATTTCTGACTAATTTTTGTCTGATTGAAACAGAAGTAATTTCATTTCCATACAAATTCATTTAATTGTTACATTTCCAAAAATATTTCTCAAATTTTCAGTTAAAAATAACTTTTCTTTTCTCTAATAGACAAAGTAATTGATGACACAATTGGAGACAGGTAGTATTTTATCAAATTTTAACTTTTGCTTACCTGTAATCTCTATAAATTTCAACAAAATTGAATGAAATCATTCTTCAAAACATATTCCTTCCTACCGATTGTTTCTGTTTCTGTCGGAGAGATGTTATACTTAAAGCGCTAGCTATAAGAAGCAGAGAAATCACAATGTACGCCTTAGAACAGCTGTCATTGTCCACTTATTTTAACACGAGAATTATCCTATTTCAAGTCAAATACACCTATAATCTACGAAATTATCCCTTTTATGCTATCATTTGTAAAATGTCAATCCATCAGGTGTCATTTAGCAATTGACAAGTTTTAATTATGATCTGTTAAACTGTGAAAGCCATCTTTTTTCTTCAAATTACATTCTCTTTTACAAATTCTCATTCTCTCTTTTATTCTTATCCATATTTTGATTCTTTTTCTGTTTCATATCCTTTTTTTCTTTTTGTTTTGTAAAATAAAAGTATCTTTTTTAGGATAAAAAGAATATTTTTTTGATACTTACAATTTTGCATTTATTGTTAGTTTGAAAATATTGCAACAATCATTCCATACTTTATATTATTATCAATTTAAGTAAATGAAATATTTGAGAAGTTCATCTCTTCTCTGATACTTCATATATGAGATTCTGATATTGTTTCCTTGCTAACTCTCATTTAGAATCTTTGCTCTGATCCTTGACAAGAGCACAAAATTAAATGGAATATATTTCCTGGAAGTTTCAAGTAAGCAAAAGAAATGTTACAGCATGTTAAGATCAAATTACCTGAACCTTAACCATCACAAAATGCTTATAACAGATGACATATTCTGTCAGATAAAAGGATGACTTACTTTTCCAGAAATCCTTTGTTAAGTTAGATTTTAAAAGTTATTCACATTTCCATTTTAGTAATTCAGTTTCTTTACAACAAGTACTAATTGCAGTTTATTCCGCACAAATCTATTTGTGAATTAAATTAGAGTTCGAATTCTCAATACTGTCACTAGAGAGAAAGAGTGAAATCAGAAATGCGGCCAAGGGAAGATCATCAATTACTCAGTACATCCGAAAAAAAAAAAAACGAAACATAGATTTTCTGTTTTCTCTTCTATTTTTGCAACACTACTTATCCACAAAAAAAAAAAAGAAGTATAAATATGCCACTTAATCTGCGATATTGGCACATTGCTGTAAAATGTTTTTCTTAATTTTGCTTGATTTAAATTAAAATTTAATTTTTTAATTTCCATTCAAAAAAACATTTGTACATTTAATTTTCATTATCAGATAATCATATCATTTCTCCAGATTTGTTTTTGAATTTTAACAAATCTTTTATTATTAAAAAAAAGGAAAAATACAGTTTTAAATTAAATTCATTCTAAGAAATGTTGATTCATTTCAGCGAAACGATTATTTCATTTCCTAAAAAACGTTCAAAATTTAATTTTGCAAGCAACAATGTTTTTTTTTTTTGAAAATCGAATCAATTAATTAATTACACTGATGAATTAATAAACAATCGATTGATGACGAATCAATCCTATCAAATATTTCTTACTTATAATCTTCAAATGAGCCAAAACTGTTTTTGTCTTTTCCTATATATACTTCTGTTAAAAAGCTCAAAAATTTAGCTTTTTTTTTTCAAGCAATACAGTTGAAATTTTTTCAAAATAATTTTACTCAAACTGTCCTTTCTGATATCAAATTATTGTCATCCATTCCCTAAACAATCATTTCTTCCTATCTGACATCATTTCAACGATCAAATCGATTGTTATTGTCATTTCAAACATTTTTACTTTCTCACATATCACACTTTTTTTTTTCAACCTCCATAGAAGTCTTAATCAGAGCCCTTGTTAGGAAATTCAATATTATAGTGCAAGTAGTTTACTGATGAATTTGTATGTGTGTGTGTATGTGTGTGTATATGTGTGTGTGTGTGTGTGTGTGTGTACGAAAATTCATGTCTATCTTATATACTTAAATATATCTTGTCTTTTTTTTTTTCAATTTTCACAACCAATGAATTTTCAATCATTGTGTTGGCAAAGAATAACTCCAGACTATTGTTTGTTTAGGCTTGTAAAAATTTGCTAGGCTCTTTTTTTTTTGTGCTGGAATTTACATAGCATAAATAATGAAATGTTTTAGATAATAATTAAGATATACACTGACAATAAGTAAAATTTCATTTCAAATGGAATGAAAAGGACAATGAAGAGGACATCCAAATAGTTCATTTTCAGTTAGATGTCTATAAAAATTAAAAAATTTCACTCTAATATCATTGACATATTTATTTTTTCTAAACATTATACCACCTGCCTGGCTCTTTTAGCTATTTCAAATTCTTTTACATCAGTTTAAACTGTTTCAATTAAGTTTAATTTATTTGATGAATTAAACTTAATTGATCAATATTACGAAGAGTTACAATTGTAAAATTGATCAATAAGTTGAAACTTTAATCTAGTACACTTTGATGCAATCTTTAATTCTTTTCGGAAAACTTCAAAAGCATTTTGTTTGCAAATTATTTTCATCATGTAAATAATTAAAGTCAGGTTTAAATTTAATGAAGCATAACTGTTTATCTTTTTCTTTGGTTTAATTAAAAATGAAATGAATTAGTAATAGGTAAACACATTAGTATGTTGCAGATGAAGGAGAATGATGATGATGATATGATTTGATATGATAATTACAGAGTTATCAATTCGCCTGTTTTTTTTTACCATTACCAAGAAATGAGCTGGAAAAGTTATCAGTTCGATTTCATTCCTTTTTTTATTTCATTGACTTTTCAAGAGAACATAGTAAATGTTTCCTTTGAATTTCTTTTTTTTGGTAATTTCATATTACAGTATTTAATTACTTCATACATATCATTGCGATATCGCACAGATAACAGATAATGAATGCAAATTAGAATATATTTTAAGTTTAATTTCTGATTATTTGTTGAATTTGTGATGCATTGCAATATTTTAAATTTATCATTCATGAAAATTCTCTTATAAATTGTATAAAGTATCTTATCAATTAAGCTTAAAATAGAAATAAAAGCTTAATGAGGTTAAAAACTAAAATTTCATTCTATTGGCTTTATAAAGTTTCAAAAAATTAGGCGCAATCTTTCTATTAAAATATAAAATTTCCTGTTTTTTCATTCAAACATTCTGAATACTCTCAATATCATAAAAAAAAAAGCTGTCATTTTCTAAGATGTTACATCAGATGTGTTGACAACCTAACTTTCCCAAGTTAAGTGTTGTCATTAAAAAAATGTGTCTGTCTAAATTTGGTATATACTTTTCCTTTGATAATTAAGGCTTGCAATAATTTCCAAGAAATTATTATTCTAGAAATTTCTGAATATTCCATGACTATAATATACTTTTGACAAAGAAAAATACTAATTTAGTTAATTTACGAACTTTAAACTTTCTGTAGTTTTCATTCATTCTATTACTTTTCAAAAAAAATGATTATGAAACAGATGATAAAAGGGAAAAAAAAAATGTTATGTTGTCAACAATTTTATTATATTTATATGTACATATGTAAATTTACCCATAGATATAATATATATATGTGGCGACACAAAAATAACACATTATTTGGGAAAAGAAAAAAAAAAAATTTCTCTTCATTAAATTTACGGAAAATTATTTCTTTTTTTATTAAATTTATATGCTCTTATTATGCAAATATTTGAGTTTTATTTGAACAAATAAAAATACATTACAATCTTAGAGCTCATTTCACTTCTCTAATCTTTTCTAATAATTAATTAGGCGCAATATGTAAGGATGTAAAAGAGAGAAGGCAATAGTAAATGACGCTTTTGTTAAAAGTTTCAATTTGATAATAATCAATGAGAAAGTAATTTTGTTGAAATTTTCTTCACTTATACTTGTTTGGATTGCTTATCAAAGATGCTAGAAAGTTTCTAAATTTTATTATCCATTCATTTGGATGATATTGGATGATGATGATGATGATGATGATGAAATTTTGCTAATTTTACTTTTTCAAATATTTTATCGATAATATCCATCTATATACATCATTGCTATTTTTCATCATTAAAAAATTTTTAATATAATTTATCCATCTGTAATCTAATTCTTATCAACAAGCTTATTCAAATATTGATTATGAAATTCATATATAACAGCCTGTTTTTGTTTTCATATCTCTTCAAGCATAAATTTGTTTATCAAATGTAAAAGGTTTAAAATATTTGTAAAAATAATTTCAAAATATTTTAGATCACTGAACAAACAGCTATAATTACCATAAAAGGAATGAGAAAAGATTTGCTAAGCGTTTTTCCTTCTCATTTTCATATTATAGAAGTATTCGATGTATCACTAAGCAGTTAAGCTGAAGTAATTATGTCTAATTAAAAGTCTTATTTACAAATATCCCATGTTGAAGTAATTGATTTATAATGGAATGTTGTTGTGATCAATAATAATAATATTTGTTGTCCATTGATGACGAATGTAGTATGAGAAGAGACGGTGATTTCGGAGAGAGGTTGATAAGTATCTCTTAAGAATCCATAAAGTAAATGCGACACGCTTAAATGAAGTCCAATCCAATATATTATATGCTCTGATGCTTTTCTTGTGATATACTTCATTTAGTATTGGTTGAAAAAAAAAAAAAAGCGATCGGCACACGTTTTGACATTGTCATCTTTTTCTTTGTCCTTCTGTTTACTCTTTTTTTTTTGATTTTGAAATGCAAAGCTATAGAGTAAGTGGTATTTGACACAAAAAAAAAAAAAAAAA